AGAGAGAGAGAGAGAGAGAGAGAGAGAGAGAGAGAGAGAGAGAGAGAGAGAGAGAGAGAGAGAGAGCACGCTGTACCTTCTCGGTCGTTTATCGTTTTATCCTCTTTCATCTTGTTTTCAAATAGTGGCATCTCGTCTAAATGTAGGCTACATACATTTGCAAAATGCATACTCCTGTCACCTCGTGTGAGTTCGACATTAGTGGAGGAGCTATCTCGTTCGGGTGAGGCATGTAAGGCAGTAGGCGCCTTAAGAACGAAATGATTATGAATTTCATGGTAGTATCTATTAAGGAATCTCATGTATGATATAGCAGTTGTGTTGATTGGACTAGTAAGCAGGTGTCACTGTCTCTAGTATTTCACCTGAGAAGCGACCAGCGAGTTAATTATATTTAACTTGATTCTGTTCTTAGGTTCGAAACTGGTTTTCGAATCATCTTGTTTCTTATTACATCCTCTTAATCTTTTTCGCTTTAATCGGGTTATGAGTGGGTGATTGAAGTTTGGTATGGTGGCCATCTATGCTAAGATTGTTTACTTGCCTGTTAGATTCACAGAAGGAAAATTGCAGAAATACCCCTTTTTCATGGTTCCTTCTGAATATGCCCTGAAGCTTTTTTTTTCGGAAAAAAAAAAAAAGAAAGGATTGCACCAATACCCTACATGCCTGGAATTGCAAGAATGCCCTTTTTTATCTCAAGAATACCCTTTTCGCCGACTGTCCTTGTTGTGAAGGTATACGTAGCGACAAACTTTCAAAGAAAGAGGGGTATTTCTGCAATTTCTCCGCAATAAAAATGCACAGCCTGCCGGTCAGTCCCGGATAATAAGGCAGACACGGGACCCGCCAACTTTTCTGTTACTTCCTCCTCGTTACCTGGAACTACCTTCTCTGAGTTCTATCCCCCGAACATAACGTCCCATGATCACGAATGTATACAAACCCTGTTCACGTCCAAATACGGTCATGTTGCCGGGGTGTTATGAGACTTGTGTGGAAGTTCGTCATGGTCTGGGGATCTTTTCCTTTCTCATTTTCATTTTTTGTTCTGGACCCCAAAATAATTGGCCTTTTGGAGGGAATTGTATTTTTATTTTATTTTATTCTGTGCTCAGGATCTTTCCCTTTCTCATTTTCATTTCTTGTTCTGGACCACAAAATAATTGGGTTTCTGCAGCGAGTTTTTTTTGTTTTTTTTTTCTGTGCATTTGTTTCCGTCTAATTAGGGATATTTGGTGGAAAGAACCCAGGTGGAAACCTTTTTGGTTTTGGGCGCCCGGCAAACCCTGGCCGGTACTATGCCGCCAGGGAAACGGGGCGTATTTGATGGGACGGTATTTATATCGCATGTACGTCCATACCTGAGGCTGTTTTCCCTAGACCCTACAGCACTAGACCCCAGGATCATTCTCCATGGGGCATAGTACTGGCCCCGATGGGGGCTTGAAACCAAAAAGGTTTCTGCATGGGCGCATTCCACCAATAATCGGGTGTTATTATCAATAGACATCTGGTGTGGGGTCCCTTTAGCAAAGAAGATTAGATCGAACACCTGAATGTGGAAGTGTTTGTGGAAAGGTTCAGGAAATCACAATTGATCATCTTTTCTGCATATCAGCATGGAACACATCCAGCTTCAGGCACTAAATAGAATCCGCTTTCCTAGTGGGACTGCGCCCCTGGTCCGTCAAATGGTTTGTTTCGGTTGGCTAGCTTCGATGCCGAAATTTTCCGTAAATTCAATCAAAGTCAATGTGTGTGATGCCCAAGATCCGTGGAGAAACTCTGTGTCACGGTGCATGTCCACAAACTACATAATAAAATCAAATTGCAATCTAAAAAGAAGAATGCTAAATTAGTAAATTGCAATTTCAAGGGGCAAAACAACGTTACCGAATTAGAAAAGGCAACACTAAGTCCAAAAAAAAAGTGAAAAAAAAGTTAACCATTGCCAACTCTGCAACTCTCTCTCTCTCTCTCTCTATATCATTTACAGTGTAATCAGTGAGGGGATTCTGCAGACTGTTGAGGGTTCAGCCTCCTGATGAGTCGGTGAAACTCCGACGAAACAGTTTGTCACAGCCCCTCGTTTGTTGTCCTCTTCTCTCTCTCTGCCTACGGTTTACCGGGCAGTTCTGTTTGTGACGATATATATACATATATCATATATGAACGACCATTTTGTCAAAATGGACATTTTTTATTTTTTGAACGAAATTGAAACTGAGTTTTTGGCTGACAACTTGTCAAATTTTGCTGTTCCTGAGGGTCCAGCGTTTTACAAACGCTCGACCCCCTGGCTGTACATGAACCTAGCTTGAGACCAAGCACCTCCAGGCAGGACTGCGTGGAGGTACCTGGTCTCAAGCCAGGTCCATGTACAGCCAGGGGGTCCAGCGTTTGTAAATCGGTGGACCCTCAGGAACAACAAATTTTGACGAGTTTTCGGCAAAAAAACTCAGTTTCAATTTCGTTCAAAAAATAAAAGATGTCCATTTTGACGAAATGGCAGTTTATGTATATATATATATGGATATATACATCGAAATCCATTGCATGAGATTCTATGGTGTGCAAAGCCAGGAATGGTCAATACCCGAACTTTGCAAGAGGGCAAAAGGACCAAAGGGCAGGACAAATGCACCAAGGGGGCAAAGTACGTCCAAAGCACTGTGATTGTTTTGGATGTACTTTGCCCCCAGCGTTTTTCAGTACTGTGCCGGTAGAGAGCAAAGAAGAGGGTGAAGGGAGGAAGCGGGCAGACTACGTGCGAAGCTGTGTAACACTCTGTACGACGTACGGGGGGTTTATCGTACGGTCGTACGTACGGCCGTATGTACAGCCCCGTACAGAAAAAAAAAAAAAAAAAAAACCTTTTTTTTTAATCTCAAATTTTGTAAGGAATTTCAATATGACCCTGAGGCAAAAGTGTTTCAGTTTATTTTTCTGCATAAAATATTTTTTTTTAAAGATTGTTTTGATTTTTTTTTTTTTTTTTTTTTCCGTACATACGGCCCGTACGACCACATGAGCCCGTACGTACAGACGGCCCGTATTCGTACGGGGGTGTACATAGGTGCGAAGGGAGTCAAATTATGTCATTTTTGCCCCTTTCCGGACTTTTGCACAATTTGAAAAACATTAAACCACCTCTTGAGCCCACCCTGAGAGCAGACTAACATAGTAACACTAATCCCAAAATCAGCATGCTGGCCCTTATAGAGTACTACTTTTACGAGGACTAGATCAACTAGATCTGGCTGCTGATTTGGGGATTTGTCGTTTTCAGGGCCTAATGTGAGTATGGCCTGAAAGGCTGAAAATGCCCTACGCAAGAGAGAAGCATATGGCAATTACTCACCTAAGTGCTCACCAAACTCCATTTCCTGTGGTGGGTTCTCAACACTGGCATTTCCTTACGCAAGTGCTGCCCTCTTTCCAGCACTCACAGCACTGTCGAGTGCTACAAGACAAAGCTGGGCTTGATCCAACAGGATGATGAGACAGATGAGTTACTCTGACACCACTTTCGGTGGGCAACTGGGAGAAGGCACCACAATGACAATGAGGGATTTTAACGTCTAAAAGATGACAGAAACTGGAGTACCTCCAGGTGAAGTAACCATCAACATCCAGAACAACAAACATTTTCGGACAGTACTGTCCAAGGTGGGTATAGCCTGGTTGCTCGGACGATGACATAGTCTAGACCTTTGCTGGCGGGGAGGGGGGATTGTCACGCCCAACCTCACCCCCCGGCACGACTTCCTGATCGGAGTGTGAGTGGTCCTGGAAGTGCGAAAAGGGGGTGTGCTAAGGATTTTAGGAAAGTGGGGGTGGAGTCCCAGGTCGGAACTGAGATCTCCTTTGGCAAGTTTCAGGGATAGGAACGCAAGAGGATAGGCTAGAGTCGAAGTCTGTTTCTATGCTTGAGCGCGTGGGGTTACCACCTCTCCAAGGTTCCGTCGTCTGGGTCGGGCTTGTATTTGGTGCACGGTTGGGACGCTATGGCTATCGCACTGTCCGACCACTTGTCGGCGTCGTGCGTCATTGGTCCTCAGAATCCGACACAGCTGGCGTTGGCCGAGGCTGTGCGCCCGTCGTTCTTCTTCCGAGCGAGTTCGCCGGATGAAACTGGAGGCTCGGTACTCGTGGTCTTGCAAGCACTCCGAGCATGGGAGTTGGGGCTAATACAGAGCGATTGCGCGCCAGGGGATGATGGTCAGCGAATGGAAGGGCAATATGCGGTGGTAGGGAGGGAATTCGATTTCCAGAATAATTACTCCCGGTTCCACGACAAGGTGACACGTGTACGAGCTGGGGAATTCTGGGTGGTGGGGTATGTGCTCTCGAGCTCGGTTGATGTCCCACTCGCAGATACGTTCGTTTCCCACCGGGTATGGAAATTCGGGAAGTTCTCCCCTCGGTCGTGCAGACAGACACGTGCTCCCAATACTCTCGAAATTTCGGATCCCTCAGACACTCGCGGTCAGTAATATGAAAAGGGAGTTCAATATTTATGTTGTTGGGTGAGGGGGAAACTCAGTCATTGAAAAAGTTGGGCCGAGTGCAGGCACTGGGGACACGCATGTACGCCACGTTCTTCTGATCGGGCTTACACGTGCATTCACAAGGCCTGCCCTTCGGTCCGATGGACAAAGACCAATGGCCCACGTCTCGTACACGCTGGCCCGTTAACTGAGCGTGGATAGTCCTATCGCGAAACATATATCTCATCATCTAGCATGCTCGTTTAATTTCGACAGACAAATACCCATCGTCCGCGCATCCAGTTTCATGCATACATTAACAAAAAGAAGGTGACTCATTCATGCATTAAGGTCGTACAAAATTCGATCGTAGGCAATTAACCAATCAATGTGGTCCATCCATATAGAGGGAAGAACAAAGTGGGAGAAGCAATCATGCATCAAATAGTAGAGACAAACAAGGAAAAGATCTGAAATGTCGTTTGAAGAAAGCAAAAGCGACTTGCACCAAATGCTAAAGTTGTTCAAAGGGATAGAAGAAGAACACCACAACATCATCCTATAGTGAGACAGTCATCTAATAGTTTATCATGCCTATCCTATTCATACATAGACTGAACCATACCTATCATCCATGCATCGAGTTTTGAATAGAGCTCGACCGCGTTAACTTTCAAAAATGGTTAGAGGGGGAGTTAATCGTGCTTACAAAATTTATAGCACGCATGCGTGTGCGCGCAATACCCGAGATTGTGTCTGAGTACGGGGAAGGAGGAAGGGAGTGCCTACAACTGCATGGCCAGGCCGCGGCGTGGGGGACATAGCCTCACTCCACACATCGATCCAATCATGCATGTGTTCAGGCCAATAGGACAGAGGAAGAAGTACGCGCGCACGAAGGCACCACAAAAGGTACCATGAGCGAGAGAAATATAGTTGCAATTATGCCCGCCAAAAGAAAATTTACAGTTATACATAGGATTAAGGCGTGGAGAAATCAGAGCACAGATCTTGAAGCGGCATGGCGTGTGCAAGCAAGAAGCGCACTGCAGCAGAAATTGAGGCGCACCTAAATTCCTAATTCTAATTCCTAGTTGCAAAAAGAAATTCCAAACGAAGCAATTTCTGAGAGCCGGTGGGGGCTGAACATCAGTTGACAATTCAAAAAGATTTTCCCACACGACTATCGTGCCAAAAATTCCCCAGTCCCACAACAGAACAAGAAAGAAGCTATGACAACGGTTATTCGTTGCGCTCGCTAAGGCGCGATCAACTACCAACCGTCACGGAACCAGGCCAGCCCTCCCCCTGTTCCCAAAGGACGAGAAAGCCCAAGGATGCGTAAACCAAGGGCATCTACGCAATTCAACAGGCCATCCCGACTCAACCCGTTTCGGCCCCCGACGTAGCCTCGCACCGAAGATCACGCGGTTGCAGAAAGTAGTTTGTCACAGGATTAGACATTGCCCGTCATCTCTAAAGTGTGCACGTCTAGTACTACACTCTAGGGGGAGTCTGTGGCGCCCAGGTAGAAGTCTTTGCGGGACACTGAGGGTCTACCCATGGGGCCTGTAGAGAGAATGCTTACGCCTAGCACCCGAAGTACCCATAGGACAGGAATCCTTAGAGCACTCTTCAGCCAGCCTATGGGCTGAGTGCGGTTCCTGCGTAGCCCTGGTGCCTACGAATCCCCCCCGGCGGCGGCCAAGCGCGGCCAAGTCCGCGGCCGTGGCCAGGTCCGCGACCCCGCGGAGGTGTCGCGCGGACGCGCGGCTTTGAGGCCACGTGGCGGCCAGTGGGGAGGGGGGTTGGGGATTCGGGAAGCGCCATGGGGCGGCGCAACCCCAGCCCCACCCCCTCGAACAAAAAAAAACAAAAACAAAAAAACATTGTGGTTGGGGGGGTTTGGCTGTGAGTGCAAATAATTGAAAAGAAAAAAAAACAACGCATTTTTTTTTTTTGGTTGATTGATTGATTGATTGATTGATTGGTGGGGGCGGGGTCGCGCCACCCTGCCTTTGATTGATTGGATTGATTGATTGATGGATTGATTCATTCGGTTTTGCTTTTTTTTTTTGTTGATCGATTGATTGATTGATTGATTGATTGATTGATTGATTGATTGATTGATTGATTGATTGATTGATTGGTGGGGGTGGGGTCGTCCCCACCCCCAACAGGCCCACATACACACATACACACGAAGTATTGTGTATTTCCATGTTCTAGCGGAAGATTCATTCGATATTGATTGATTGATTGATTGATTGATAGATTGATTGATTGATTGATTGATTGATGGATTGATCGATTGATTTAGTGGTGGGGGAGGGGTCGCCCCAACCCCCCCCCCACCCACCATGCGCGCACACACGCACACACGCACA